CAACATATTTTCTAAATTCGATTTAAAATCTGGATATTGGCAAATTCAAATAAATCCTGAGCATACTTATAGAACTGCTTTTAATGTGCCTATAGGACAATTTGAATGGAATGTGATGCCATTCGGATTAAAAATGCTCCTTCGAATTTCGAAAATCATGAATGATATATTTATTCATTATATGGATTTTATAATTGTTTACATTGATGATATCTTAGTATTCTCTGATAATATTGAACAACATTTTAAACATCTTAATATATTAAAGGATGTTATTTTACGAAATGGATTAGTAATATCTAAACCAAAGATGCTTTTGTTTCAACATAATATAAGATTTCTTGGTCATCAAATAAGTCAAGGGAAAATAACCCTATTCAACGATCAATTGAATTCTCTTCTAAATTTCCGATGTTTTTCTTGAGAAAATTCAACTCCAGAGATTTCTAGGAAGTTTGAATTATATTTCACCATACTATAAGAATTTACAGAAAGATTTAGCAATTCTATATGATTTGCTTAAAAAATCAATTAAATTTGATTGGACAGAAAAGCATACTCAATTGGTTAGGCGAATAAAAGAAAAAGTAAAAACTCTACCATGCTTAACATTAGCAAATCCAAATTGGAAAAAGATAATAGAAACTGATGCTAGTAGCATAGGATTCGGAGGAATCTTGAAACAGATTAACCCTCATGATAATAATGAATATCTTATTAGATATCATTCTGGTAAATGGACAGAACCTCAAAAGAAATATGCAACTGTTGCACAAGAATTTCTTGCTATTGTAAAATGTGCATTAAAATTCCAAGATGATTTATTTAATCAGTCGTTTGTCATTCATCTTGATGCACTTCATTGTTAAACACATGATTTATAAAGATTATAAGCATGATTCTTCAAAGCAAATATATGCTCGATGGCGAGCTAATTTAGCCCCTTTTGATTTTGAAATTTTATATAAAAAGGTAGTGATAATTCCTTACCCGATTTTTATCACGTGAATATTTGCAGGATGGAGTGGCCACAAATTGATTATCTTAATCCACTATCCGTAATACATATTGCTTATAATAAGATTGTTCTGAATATAGGCATTGTAGAACGGAATATATTTTTGCGAAGCATAGACTAAATCACTTTTTACGAGTTCGTAATACAATTCTTGATTGTCTTGATGAATTTACTTCACCACAACAGATAATATCTGTTTGAAGACCTTGAATTTGTCTATGACATGATAGAAGACTTCACTGGAAGATTAACGAAAGTGAAGAAAAGTTGAATTATTGTAAAGCCAAATTGTCATTAATAATTCTCTAATTTTTCAGATTATGTATCCACCCGATAGAGGACGCGGCCCTTATAGAGGTCGTGGAGGAAGAACAATAAACCCCGTAATACAACATGGGAATAAAAAGCTAATAGCTGCTGATTTTCAAAATCTCGGGAGGAATCCTCCTCATCGAATGCGAAATTGGTCCAAATAATGGATTTTATTCGAAGGATTCGCATTATATAAGCAGATTATGGATCAAATCCAAGAGCAACAAAGTGATACCTTTTTGCCAAAGTAAGTGATACCGACTGGATGATATCCGGTCATATGAAAAAGGATCCACAAAGGAGGTAATATTCCTTCTTGAAAACGCGATATTCGGTGGAAAGATGATCCATGGGTAATATTCCGGAGATATCTAGCGAAAGAGTAACGATCTGGGTGAGTCATACAAACCCGAAATTATTATGAGAATATTCTCAAACAAACATGTGAAATAACACATTTTCAGTCTAATCGGACTACGATCAAGTTTATAACTTCTCAAAATTATTATCAAAAAGATTCTATCTTTTGAAGAATGGGAATTTCAACCCTTTTCGAAAGAGAAGTACGTAATACTCCTACTTCTCCTCCTTTAAAATTTACTTACTGGGATTATATTCAAAGTTTTTACAAAATTTTTATTATGAAAACCCCGAAAGAAGCATACTTGGTTCATAAAAATATGCTCCCATGTATATTCTTCTCCCATACCCAACTGGTTTATTCAGTGGTGGGCATTATATGGCCCAACAAAGAAAAATTTTGCCGATAATTTTTCAAAATTATATTATCAATGGTTAAAATCCTCTCCTATCATTGATAAACTTCAACACGATCATATCGTGCTCCGGGAAAAATCACTCTGTTATACTTTTTATTGAATTCTCGATTCCTTGGATTTATAAATGGGTCCCCGAGGTGGGATTCAATGAATTTCAAATTCCGTGTCTTTATAAGACATATTACACCAAATTTTGGGACAAATTAACAAAGATGAATCACAATACCAAAAGAATGGAAGGACAAGATTTGCTTGGACGAAATTGCCCGAAAATCAAGGAATATACTCAAGACAAAGGACGACTCAAAGCAAACCCGGATGAAGAAAGTCCGTTTAAACATATCACAAAACGGATTCGATTCAGCAAGGAGCAATTAATAAGGAAGAAATAATATCCGCCTATATGAAAGAAGTTAAAGCAGATCTCATGAGAAATTTAAAGAATCTCGACAATGATAATATTTCGAAAAATCGATGTTTCGATGAAGAGCATAACTTCAAATGAAGAAAATTCGTTTGCAATCGGCCGGAGAATCTCGGTCACCGTAAAAGATGACGATCACGATGAATTCATCAAAATCACACAGCAGATCCAAGAATCACTCAATCACCAAAGGAAAAGAAAAAGAATGAAGTGACAAAAGTAGGAATCTACTTTTGAAATTTTGACAAAAGTAGGAATCTACTTTTGAAATTTTGTACAAATAGACCACCACCTTCAGTCAAATCTGAAGAAAACCATGTCAAATAATGACAAAAGTTAATAACTTTTGTAGAATAGTAGTTTTAACTTTTGTAGAATAGTAGTTAGGCACTTTGTCTATAAAGAGAATGTACAAGTTCTTGTGGAGGGCATCATTCTCTCCAAGTATTCTCTCATTTCTTCTCCCTTTATCCCGAAATTCTCTCTCCCCCTTGTAAAAACATCATTTAGTAAATATATTTTTCAAGTTTGAAGCATTGAAGAAGCCTTTAAAGGTAATATTTTCTTTTAAGTTTGTTTTGAGTTATAGTTTGAAGTACTCAGACAATGTCTGAGTAAATCCTTTGTCTGAATCAAACATTTGGCTTTTGTTTACATAAATTATACATGGAAGCTCTATCTCCTTCTTCTCTTTTAATTAAAATACGATGATTTGAGATTGGTTCCAATTCCGAGTTCAGTCGGAAAACTCAACAATAAGTGCATTGGGCTAGAAAAGTACCCGCTATGATGAATTGTTTAAGGGGAAAAAGAGGCCACATGATGCACAATAAGTTGTGAATTCCAGACAGGCTTGAGAGTTGGGTGAAACTTTTCCATGCATCTCGATTATTGATATTTTAATTAAGGATGGATAGAGATTTTGATCCTGTAGCTGGCTGACAAGGCATAGCTCCCGGATGAATGGTATCAGCCAGGGTGGTGGTTTGGATTTCGGCCTGGTTTCCTTGCTCGTCTGTTTGCCTGGTCTTACCGGCTAAGATAAGCACTGGCCAGGCCCCAACCCCACGCAAATATGGATGTTGGAAAACTTACAATATAAAGATTAGACGAGTTAATATTTTGAGTACAAAATTAATATAAAAATTTTGAATAAAATATCATATATATAATCCATCTATCTATATAATATTACTCTAATTCATACATTATGACAAATTAACTTGAGATGTCACTCTAACATTAATTGTTACCACTATATAAATTTTTCATCTATAGAGAATATTTCGTTCAGCGGCTAGAAATTCTGCAAAATGGCCACCTTTGTAGCTACAAACATATACTACCGCCCAATTTCGAGTAATCTCAACCTTCCGCAACAAATCATTGTATTCTTTAAACTCTTATAATTCCTTTTCACATCTAATTGTTCTTATATATATATATATATATATATATATATATATATATATGACAATTAGATACCGTAAAAATCAAACGTAAAATGGATTAGTGATTGATATATCACGTGCTTACGTCTTTTCACCTATGACATTGGTAGCTATGAATTTAGTGGAGTGCTTACGTCTTTTCACGAGTCACTATCTCATTTAACTATAAATTATCAATCATAGACAGGACCATTGCTCTTTTTATTATTTATGATAATATTTTTTATTACAAACTAAATAATTTCATTTACATTTAGCGAATTGAAATTTTAAATATTTTTTATGAATGTATATATATCAATCCCGCACATCGTGCGGGTTTAACATCTAGTTTTATCTATCAGACGACGAATCTTTGAACTACATTACGATAATTGCAAATCAGTCATCCAAAGATGGTACTCCCTCCGGTCCTTATTATAAAGTATTTTGATTTCTTCCTAGGTTTAACTCAAGTTGTCTTTTTAATTGGAAAAAAAATCTTAAAAATATATTTTCACATTCGTTGTATTCTTCTAATTATTATGAAATGTTTTAAAGATTTTTATTTCAATTAAAAAAATCTCATAAATAAAACGTAGAACGAAATCAAAATATCTTATTATAAGGACGGAGGGAGTATTAAATTCCATCTAAAGAAATATTCTATTGTTTTTCTCATCTTATAGGTTTCTGTCTTCGATAATAATCAGCCACGCAGTCGAACTGTATTTTAATAACACGTTTGGTGTCCAGAAGAAAACCTCAAAACTACTCAGAATAGCCTTCAGTTCTGAACTCAACATCCAAAATCGATGTCCAAAGCCCATAAAGGAAACCTCATAAGTCAGAAGATAAGTTCACATCGAAGAGAGACTGTAAAGTGTAAACCAATGTTTTAGACATCTAGCCCATTTTCACACCCCACAAAACCCAATTGCAAATCAGTATAAAAGTTTCAAAAGCTCAGTCCAGGGACAGTTTACCAAAATTGCAGACTGCTATAATTTGTTATGATGGAATTTTGCGAGAAAATTCACCGACTTTCTTATTTAATCAATAATTCATCGAGGAATATTCATGTGTATTCGTTCACAAGAGAATAATATTTTCATGAAATTCAAGCTCCAAAAAAAAAAATTGATAAATTAAAAACCCACATTAATACAAGAAAACCTAAAAGTTAAAAAGTAAAAAAAAAAATTAAATAAATAAAAACAGGGGAGGAAAAACAAAAAAGAAACAGTGGTATACATATATATAAAGAAAAACTCTGGAATATACTCATGAGATGGTCACCATGTCTTGTTTGTACTGCCATATTGATCTTGCTCGAACAATTTCTGCTTGATCTTCTTCCATACGAAGCAAATGTGTACAATTCCAACCCCCATTTTCTCTTCCATTGTCGGTTTTATTTACAGTGGTTTCTGAAGAAGATGAAGAGGAGGTTTCTTCATCGTCGTGATTTGAGGTAATACTCGTTAAGGATTCAAGCACATTTGATTGCCTACATTCACGTCTGTACTCCAATGTCATGCTTGTTAAGTTGTAGTCTTCTAAAATGTTGATCGGCACACTCTGTAATAAAGAATCGTATCGAATCAGTAAAATTATATCGTTTCACTAGTTCAGCATCATATATACAATAAGTAAAATCAGATGATCTTGTTTTCAAGTATCTAATGAATGTTCATATAAGAATTGACTTTGATGTCTTATTACGATAGACTAACATCAACTTGGTTAATTTCATTAAGCAGAGTAAAATTCAAACCTACATAAACATTGAACACTGAATGAAAATCGCCCAACACAATAATTTGGATGTATGAAATGAATAAAAAAAGAATAAGGTTTTCATTTATACCTCCAAAATCCATCCTATGTACTTGACATTGTTAACGTGCTGGTTGGCATCCATGTCATTCCATCGAGGCTATAAAAAAGAAGCAAATACGGATATAATATATTCTTACGGCCATTTTAATAGTCTACTTTGTTGAACTTAAACAGTATAATAAAGTAAATTGTTAAAAAATAGTACTAAATGCATTATTTGAAATTAAGACACACTTACAGCTAATCCAGATCGGACTCTTTGTGCAGTTTCATCAGTTAATTTCTCGATTTTTTCACTATCCACATCTTCAGTTGATATTGCAACTCTATTCAGGTAGAAGGGTTGAACCTCTTCTCGAACTTGATCTGGGATTTTAGATAATCTTCTTGTTTCTCTGTTCATAATCACCCAAGTGCTGCAAAGTAATACACATGCACTGAATTTATTAACTATTTTCTAAAAAATGCATTAATTTGATTAGAGAAAATAATCAACACTTGGCGTATAATTAGGTAAACTACTACCTTGTGGCCCTGGTTATAATCTTTTGGGTGTTATAATCTCGAATGATCCAATCTCGACGCATTCCGTTCTTACCAGCTGCATCTACCCACGTATCAATCTCAACCACATCACCCCTAAAACAACAATAAAAAAATTCCTTGTGTGAGGTGTAGTTTTCTCCTAATTGGGACATTAATAAGTTTAGTTTTGTTCAGATTTATCGTCTTCAAATATACTAACAAAAATTTCAATCGATGACTATGGTCAGATACTGATTTGAAACAACATTTTGACATATGCAGATTAAACCACCAAGTTAAAAAGATCTGATTGTACATTAAATTTCTGCCAAAAAATTAAAAAAAATAAAAAGTCGTGAATGTAATATTAACAGAGAATTCTTAGAAGAAGAAAAATGCAATATGTATACGTACCAGGAGCTATATTTATCGACCTGGATATGAACCCTAGTAACTACCCAAATGAGTTTCCTGATGCTCATCTCTCGAGTTGCACCAAATCCATTACCTGACACGCCAGAGCTTGCTACGTGATTCAGAGCCGTTTCCTACATTCCAAATCTATTGTCAAAACACTATATGGATTTGATTTCTGATTTATTGCGCCTTCGTCCCAATTTTTTTTTTTTTTTCATTTTTATCTATCAAACAAGACTCTTATTTTGTAACATAGAGACTAATGAAAATATTTAGCTTCCACTAAAAGTTATGCTCATGATCTTTTAGGAAATCAAATTAAGGTACAAAAACTAACCTGAAGAAGGTTCATAATGGTTTCCATGGTGGCTGTTTTATCGGGTCCAATTTCATAGGACCTAATAATAAACGATTGCCTGTAAACAAACCGGCCTTCAACAAATCTCCCCAACAGATACTCATGATTTGGCTCTTCAACTGCATTTTCTGTCAAAATTACTCCATTTATGTTCTTCTTTTGTGCGACATATGGTGATGGTGCTGGCGCCCCATTGATATAAATCCCATTGACTTTGTTCCCGTTGATGATATGAACCCGCCCCGGCTGCCCCGTGGAAGCTTTCACCCTCAAACAATGACGCCTTACCGGCGAATTCGATCCGATGATTTTGATATTTGGGATGCCCACATTCCCATGGTTCTTGATGATCATCATCCTTTGTTCTTTGAAAGGGTTTCCTGCATAATTTGTGGCAGCATTTTTTAACAAATCCATCATGTTTGATATCTCCATTTTCCTGACATTTGATTGCTAATAATGATAATAATGTATCTTAAGTGTGCCAATGAGAAAGATTTGTGATTAGTTAGGTGTATCTACTGGTGGAAAATAAGGAATTTGGATGCTAGAAGAAATCGAAAATGAAAACTTTCTTCAAACTCATTAAACGGGTGTGTTAATAGGTTAAAATTTTAATGTCGAAAACTAATGTGGAGTGGAAGATTGGAATTCGTAGCTCAACAACTTTGATTGGGTGGGAGAGAAAACAATAGCGTTTTGCATCATCAACTATTCAATTTGGTTAGGCAAAAATAGAAGTGCGATGTTGTGTGGTTTAGTTACTGTTCACTTTTAATTGGTCATTAGATAGTGGAACAAATCCAATCGATGCAAACTAATTGGGAAAATGATAAATTACATTTGGAGCTTTGGATACATACATTAGGAATATGTAATTTGCCTAATGATCCAAGCTTTTGCTCATCGTCGGACTACTAACTTTTTATTGGATTGGCTTAAAGGGAAATGTGATGTGCACAGTACTGAATCAATATTATACTCTCTAGTCATATATTGAGTTTTAAAAATTATACTGATTTTAATATAAGTTAAAAAACCTCAATATGAACTAGTACTTTTTTTTCAAAATATAGAAAACTAATGTGGCTACCATTCTAAGTCTCGTTTTTTAACGCAATCAAGCTCAGATTAATGCAATAATGATCAGCAAAACGTGTTACTTTCCGTGTATGTTGGTAAATTCTGACATAAATCAATTAAACCTATGCATACTTCCATTACAGGACATGAAGATTGATTCCAATGAACATGGCCAAAATGCTCTGACAAGCTGAAATCTAACCAGAGTAGATTAAACATTTGAGTACAAAGTAAGTATCTTTGATCATAAAAACCAGGATCCAGGAGCGACTTCAAACGTGAATGTGTGGATGCTCCTTGTTCTCCCAAGCTAAACAAGGACCAATTCAACATGTGGAGGTAAAATACCCAGGAGCTGTTCTTTGGCAAGATTTCTATAGATTTCTTCCTCTACCATATTATCAGCTGGGAAAGGAGGCTGATCACGAGGGTCAATGATAATTCTCTCTAAAGCGACAGCATTTTGGACTAAATACTCAACAAGTTCAACCTCGGACACGCGTCCAGAATATCCCCATACTTCCACAACTTTAAGATGTTGAAGAGGAAATGCCTTGCCTTTCTTAGAAGCCCTACGATTTTGTTTCTCCTTGGGGGACTAATTTATTCGGCCGGCCGGCCGGCACACTTGAGTACAAACTTTGCCAGGTTTGGAGATGTCCGTATCAAGAAAGTACATGCAATCAGGCTCAGGTCTTTTAATGCCAGGAGAACAACAAAAACCAGTTGTTTCAATTTAGTCAATTGAGGAAATAATGGTTGTATGTCTATAAGTCCATCATCTACCAGTTGATCAGGATCAATTTTTAAGGTAAGAACCTCCAAATTTGACAGGTCACAAAGAGAGGTGGCAACAATAATGTCATCGACACTCAACATATTCAATCGTCCAATAGTTAAATCCACATGCAATGGAGCATTGTCGAGAATCAGATTGGTAAGGCCATGATTCCATTTAGTTAATCTCAGGGAAACAATATTCACATCAGCTATTATGAGTGAGACCAAATTTGAGCATTTATCTATCTCCAAGTGTTTCAACGCGAGGGATGAACAACAAAGTTCAAAATTCACCAGAATTGGAGAGGATTCCACTACCAGATATTCAAGAACAGGGCAATTATGCAAGTAAAACTCGAGAACTTCCGCCAGACATATTTACATTCTTCAACTTCAAAGTCCTCAGGGATTTAAACCCGGAGAATGAATCATCGGGATTGTTGACACGCTCACACAACTCAGCACTAGAATGGATGTTTCTCTCTCACAATCCTCCCAATCCTCCCCAAGTAGTACTTCAAGAGGAAAACAACAAGGTTTACGCTTCGCGAAACCTCCATATTTGTACAAGTTCAGTTCTAGAGTGTGCACGTTTCTTACAGATGCATACTGAAGCCATTCATCAATGTCATCAGCGTACAGAGTGTTCAAGCAAAATCAAACCCGGAAAGCATCCAAAACCGTGGATTTGTTCCATTGGAGTACTTTGTTCACCCAGTTGACATAATTCCGACGAATGCTTGTTTTTACTTTCGCGCGATCCATCCGACAAAATTCTCTGATCCCTTTCCACTCGGTCCACAATGTTGCAGAGTCAAAATTGAGTCCCGTAACGGAAAACCAAAGATTAACCCATCGTTTCGACAAAACACCCGTCTTGGCAGCATCTTAAACCGTTAAAAATGAAAGAATTGCGACGAGAATTTCGTCTGGAAGCTCACTAATCCGACCCACATGTTTCTGTTCTTCCTCAGCTAGCTTTCCTTCCATTAAAAACAGAGTTTTCATGTATTACAACACAGATTGAGGTCTGATACACTTTGTAGGACGTATAAATAAAATTACTCCTAATCTAAATACGCTTTGCTAGACGTGAGTAGAAACAATTTATGCCTGGTTTAATATATACCCACGAAGATTAACGTACTGGAATAACAAAATTATTCACCTTAATTGGGTGTTTTATATAGGCTAGTGTTAAAGATAATGACTCACAAGACGAGTCTAATACTACTTCCTTGAGTATGAGGAGTCATAAGGCTGATTGGAGAGATAAGGACGGATTAAATAGAAACGTTTTGTAAACAAGGTGGTTAAAGAGTAATTTGGTCTTGTGTTACTGCTACTTCACCACAACGGATTGATATGTTGATAACAAAGAGACTCAAGATCCACTCTTGAAGGATCAGAGAAGTTGTGCATCTGCATCACAATCAGATCATGAAAAGAAGCTGTTGTTATGACCGATCAAATTAGTCATCATCATCAAACCCTACAAAGGGTCTGTAATAGCTTATAAATAGATGACTGTATGATAGTTTTAAGAGTGGTGAATTACAGCAAACAAAGTACAATGCAGTTCCAGTTCAGTTAAGTGATTTGTTCATTCAATCACTTTGTTTCTTTATATTTAAGGTTCGTTAAACCCTCATTTTTCCGCTTGGTATCATCTGACTTAGCCTGCACCACCATGTCTTCTGTCAATACATCAATGTCTCTTAATATCAGCAACTTTGTCACACTAAAATTAACCCAAACAAATTACCCGTTATGGAGGGAACAAGTTCTTGCATTGGCTGAAAGTCAAGAGCTTGTAGATCACCTCACAAATCAACCTCTAATTGATCCAACAATTTCAGTTCTGACCCAGAATAAAACTACATCTGAAGCCATTCAAAAATTTGCTTCATAGCAAAAGTCCGTTCGGCTCCTGCGAGGGTGGATTATTGGCACACTCTCAGAAGATTCTCTTGAACTTGTTATCGGTCTGGATACTGCTCACGGTGTTTGGAATGCCATGAAGAATGAATATGCACGTGACTCACAAGAAAGAGAGTTTACACTTCGGCAATAGTTAACTTATTTGTGCAAAGATGAAGGTAAACCTATTGCTGATCATTATCGTAGTTTTAAATGTTTATGTGATAATCTTACAGCTATTAGAAAGCAGTTTTTGGAGCACGAAAAGTGTACTGTTTGCTCAACAGTCTAGGCCCTCAATTCAAATCCTTCACCACCACAATGTTGAAACCGCCAAGACCAACAGACTCTAAGCTTGTCCTGCAACTTCAGAACCTTGATCAATGTCGTACATGGTTTTCAACACAGTCTGATACTTAATTGAGTGCACACGTCCCTCATTTAGCTTTTTACCGTCAGCATCAGAGATCTACTCCACAGTAACCCTCAAGAAATTCACAATTCACATCTCATGGACGTGGTTTCCAGGCATAACAGGTGCAACCTTTTATTTTTAGTCAAAATAATTCACAGCAGGTTTCTAGGAATATGTAATCATGTCGACCTGCCCTTCCTGGAGAGCGGTGCATGACACATCTGAGAGGGAGATGTATCACAATCAGACTTGCCATAACTGTGGATGACCAGGACACATCACGAAGATTTGATGGTGGATTTTGAAAGGACAAAATCAGACTCCTTCCTCTCGTTGCACTTACTTTAGACAATTCAGTACTGGATCATGACTGGTCCTCCGACTCTGCAGCAACAAACCTTATGACTGGAAATACAGGTATGTTAACCAATATTTGTAAATATAATGGAACTGACTCAGTTATTATTGGAGACGGATCTTCAATCCCTATCACAGTTATTGGTGAATCTACTCTTCATTAAATCGAGTAATGCCACCAGGAAATGTCTTATTCGTTCCAGATTTCAAAAAGAATTTACTATCCATTAGTCAGTTAACATGTGAAACTCTTGTGAATTGTGAATTTTCCGATGTTGATTTTTTGATAAAGGAACGGAAAACAGGTCGGCCACTCATAAAGGGACACAAGAAGGGTGAGTTTTACACTATATCTAGTCATCCACAAACTTTTTTTTTTCTTATCGGTTTAAGTACGGTAGCATTGATCTTTAGCACCAACGATTATGGCACCCTCAACTTTCTGCTGTTCAACGGTTGAAAAAAATAAAGGACTTATAAATGTCACTGGATCTTTACATGTAGACCATTTGTGTGATAGTTGTCAATTAGACAAACTTAGCAAGCTACCATTTGATTTGTGTCAGCAAAAATCTATCTCTATTTTTGAAAAAAAAAAAATCATTGTGATCTTTGGGGTCTAGCCCCGATTTTATCTATTGGGAAATTTTGATTTTATGCTTGTTTAATGGATGATTACTCTAAGAACATGTGGCTTATCCCTCTTAAGCACAAATCAGACTTCACATCTGCTTATCTCGTGTTTGAAAATTACGTGTCTAAATAGTTTAATAAATGTATCAAAATATTCCATTCCGATGGCGGTGGTGATTTTGTTAACTTCCAACATAGTTTACATTTTCTTTCAACAGGAACGGTTCATCAAATCTATTATCCTTATACTCTAGAACAAACCAGAGCTTTCGAGAGACATCTCTATCGTTGGGTGGAAGAATTTTCTACCACTGTGTGCCTCATCAACCGGCTTCCATCATCCGCAGTTGATTTTTCTACACCATATTTTATGCTACATTCCTTTCAGTCTAATTATTCCTCATTAACAGTTTTCATTTCAAAATGTTTTCCTTATATTTGGGATACAAAAAAACACAAGTTTGATCCAAAATCGGTT